CTTTCACACATATTGCATTACATGTAAAAATCCACCTAGACAACTTGCATGGTTATCACCAAACAATATTTAATAACCCAACCACTTATATAAGATTAGATATCACTTTATTCATCCTCTATCCAGGAAATGTGCCAAAGAAGCCATTAAAGGATATATATAAATAGCATCATAAGAAACGCTGTCAAGGCAACATTTTATAGATTGATACTTGCAGTGGCATCACGCTGGGGGTGTTCGACATCCATCTCTATTGGCAGAATGTTCAGCGGTTACCATGGTGACACACTGCACACATTAGCAAGTTTTAGTCTGGAAAAATTCCAACGTCCCTTCATTACACCATGTCTTTATTTACACATGCCGGTATTACGACATGCTTCTATTTAGACGTGCCATTTTTCCAACACTTTTTAGTATCCCTATTTCAACTCGTCAAGACTTGTGAAAGTCTCCCGAGCCAGTCTCTTGCTGTTCTTCGATGTTCTTAATCTCCTAATCTTCATTTTAGATTAGATAATTTCCCGAAGGCTGGCCTATGCTCTTTTTTAAAATGCATGACTGTTTGCCATGGCTGTCAGTTAGGCCATTTTCCCACGGTCTGATATCCTATATGTGGCCAAAGTATTCTCTGATCAAGTGCCCAAGCATCTTATGATATATGGGAGCGCAAAGGATTATAGGCTGTCACATTAATATTATTCATGTCGGAAAAGCGGTATGTTTGAAAAATAGTGAAGTGCCGCTACTCCGACAATGAAAAATATTAGATGTTAATGTCTAAATAGCGGCATGTCAGAATAGCAGAGAATGTTGATGACATCAACTGCAAAGTCTACATATAAATACAACATTAACATCAGCTAACATCGACTGCATGTATTTGTAGTCTTCAGGTTAGAAAATCATGTAAAACAGTCTTTGCGCTGCTTAAATAGAAATATGCAAACATATTTGAAAGCGTAAGTGCAAAATCAATACGAGTTGATTAGCAGCTTTTAGGCATGCTCAGTTTGGATGCAAGGCTTTGCTGCATATTGTCAATGTGACTTTAAAGGTCCTATATTACACAAGTGTGAGCTTTTAGCCATGTTTTAATGTTGTTACCTCATCAAAAACAGAGTTGTATTTTGTTTCATTCTCACGTTTGAGTAATCCTTTATTATTAGTGTGTCTACATCTCCAAACCTCAAAATGGTGGTAGTTTTCAAATTAACAGCTACCATTTACCCATTGTTCAGTAGAGATTTAGATTTTAAGGTTGAAATTATCCAAATGATTCTAATGAGGATGTATAGAGTTTAAAAACATACTCTATGTAGGCTACAGTATTTTAGTTTGCGTCTTAAACATATGAATGAAACAAAACACAACTCCAGGCATGTTTTATTGAGGAAAAAGTATTATAACATAGATTAGAAAATGGTGTTATATGGGCTTTTTAGAATATAAACCAACACAACAAATAGAGAAAAGCTGAAATGTGGATGCCTTCTTCTTCAGTTATACATGGTCGAGTGTGAGTTTAGCAGTGGAAATACTGAGAAGAGGCTAGTCCGCGCTACCATGGCAACCGAATCGATGAGAAAAAAAGATTTGGTTGGGAGGGGGTTGTTTTAATGACATAGCCCTCTTACTGTATTGATTTGACAAAGCTACGTGTGTGTATACATGTAGTTAGACCTATAGAAAAGTCCACATAGAGAAGCATGTGTTTTTGACTAATGGAGGATTATTTTGTGATGTTTACAGCAAAATATAAGAGGAAACTGGGATTGCTCATAAAAAATATAAAAAATTTATGGCTCAATTTGTAGAATATTTACCCCTAAACCTACGCATCTCCAGTTTGAGTCTAAATATTATTATGTTATTTATGGTAATAATGTTCTAACTTCATCAAAACATATAGATTAGCACTTTATAAATGCACTGAAGGCAACATTTTGTACAATTAACCATTTTTATTCACAACCCACATTTTATTGAATCAAATTGTTATTTACATACATTTACACACACATTATTTATTTATTTTTGCTCTTTTCAAACATATATACATTACTTGAGATGGAGAAGTATTGGATGTTGCAAAAAATCTGCAAAAAAAATCTCAAATTTATTGTGTAAGTTGCACAGTTGAACTTGATTCATATATATATATATATATATATATATATATATATATATATATATATATATATATATATATATATATATATATATATATATATATATATATATATATATATATATATATAACACGCTGGGTGTATTCTGCATGTATGTCTATGGTTTAATGTTTGGTTGTTGCCATGGTGACACAATGCACAATCTTCAGCAAAAACCCGAAAAACTGTTGGCGAATACTAGCGTGTGACTATAATTTTATGATAATTAACATTATAATATAATTGTTAAGAGCACAAATGAGCTGACCCGTTGTAGTGCCATGAAGTCAGTTCTCTGCAGCCAGATTGTGTTATAATAAAGCACAGATTAAAGTCTAATAAAGCCACAGACAGAGCAGTGCCTACAGTTACCATCACACCTCCGGCGAATGTTGATGACATCAGCTGCAAAGTATCATTATTATTTTTTGTAACTGCATTATATTTACAGTATTATTGGTGAGTTCAAGTCCTCACACAGTGTTTTATTAAAGATTAGAGATCATTATGAGCACAGAACCAGTGCTCAGATTTCACCAATCAAATGTGATGCATGTTCACACTGACATTTACAGCAAAATACACCAGAGTATACAGATCAGAGCGGGTGCGTGACCCAGTTTTCCCAAGGATGCCTAACTCTCTACCCCTCTTTTTTCTCACTCTCTCTTTCCCTCCCCCTCTTTTTCTCTCTCTGTCCCTCTCTTTCTCTTTCTCTCCCTCTCTGATTCTCTCTCCCTCCTCTCCCCTGTAGCTTGTTCTGCCTCTTTAGGTCTCATTGCAGTGCTGATTGTCTCCTCCCGCTGTCACTGTGAAACCCTTTGTTGTCGGTCGTGACTGGAGCGTATCAGGCTACATAGATCTACAGACGAAACAACATACGCATATGTTTATACAGAATCCTCACCTGTAGTTTGATATTTGTCAGATGCTGGTGAACACTGCCTTATGTCTGCCTGAAGGGACGAGTTAACTACACTGAAACTGAAACTGAAACACACCTATCTGTTTACGGTTTCTGACCAGAACTTGGATGAGTGGCAAAATGTATTCACTCTAAAACATTTGTCCAGCTGGCAGAATTTAACTTTTTTTTGCTATCAATCACACTTGGATGATTGAGGGATTATTTATTTATACACAAAGGAAAGTTGTATTAAGTAAGAATCCGTGTGGATGAGACTTGTGTAATTAGTGGGAAAAAAATATATATATATATATTAGCTGAATATGAACAACCTCCTTTTGCTGTTTATTATTTGTAGAGCTAAAAAATATAAGGACACATATGTACAAATAAATCCCAGATAATAAAATAAAATTAATAATAAAAAATGCCTCGATCAGTATCACTAGTTCAAGACTACATGGTATTATCAAATAAACTAGAATTGAATTTGTGCTAAAAATTAGATTCTATTGACTATAACCATTTATTATATTATTATGATCACATTATCAAAATCTGTATCCAGTATTAAAGGTGCACTGTGCAACTTTTATACTTTTATGTTATAGGGTCTGCCACAAGATTGTTTCCATGGAGATATTTTTGCTTTGCCTGAAAATTTTCACAATATGGCATTAAACACATCTACATTGCATTTATTCAATTACAAGCGTTTTAATGCATAAAATTAAGTGCATTCCTAAAGTGATTGAGCTTACCTCTCCACAGGTCTGACCTGTAACTTGGCCTGGTCTCTCCATAGAAATAGATAAGTGCAATGCCATACTGGAGTCTTTTTCTTAGTATCAAAATCAAGTTGGAAATTTTAGTGTGTTGACCAGACCATGAACATGTTTAAAATAATTGCTTTCAAAAAGTGATCAGAATCTATGTATTAATTTTATTCATTTGAAAAGGGTAGATTAAAAACAAAAAACAAAAAAAACTAACTTAACTCAAAGGACTTTCTAACACAGAACAAAACATTGAGATGACTATGATGTTAGTACAACAATGGACACAAAAACACATGTTAGAAATACACCATCTACATTAGAAACATGGGAACATAGAAACACATTGGAGGGATACCTATCAATAAGTGCTGAAGTGAAACACAGCCATGGTTTGAAGTTACGCGAATGGGAGCTGGGCACCACCTCACATCAAAGTCTGTGGTGATGCAATCAGATGTAATATGGTGTGAAGGAAGGTGCACAGACACAAGGGTAATTAATAGGGCCTAAAACTAGAATTATTATGAGCAGCTTTGTCTAAAAACATGTCATCTGGTTCCTTCAGTCTTCAAAGTATCACATGATATCTACAATATGTACATTTTACAGCAAATACAAATTCATTAAAAAAATATTAAAATGACACAACCACTAACAGACTGACAAATTTATCTGGGGTGTCACATGGTTGTCTCCCTGGAGATATTACTTTGTCTGGTATATTGCACAGTAGTTATTCATCAAAAGTACCCTGAAAAAACATATCTTTAATATGGGAGGGCTTGGCTTCCCAGCTCTAACTTGTAACTTGGCCAGCTGGCATGACCTGGTTGTCTCCATGGAGATACAGTAGATGCGTTTAATGCCATATGGTGGAACATTCAAATAGTGTATCTTGAAAGGGTTCATATTACGTTTTTTTCTGATCTATATTATAATGTTGTTTTTTCATCACAAACATGCCTGGAGTTGTGTTTTGTTACAGGGTTATACATGTGTGAATGAAACAAACACAACTCCAGGTGTGTTTTTGATGAGGTAACAACATTCTAACGTGGATGAAAACAGTGTCAGTGCTGTGTAATATCGGACCTTTAGCCATGAGCTCATTCACTCAGACCTTTTCCTCTGTGTCTTTTACAGAACTACGGGCTAGAAACTGAGAACCTTCGCACCCTGTCCCACAAATTGAACGCCTCGGCCAAAAACCTGCAGAACTTCATCCTGGGGCGGCGGAGGGGCGGGCACTACGACGGGCGAGCATCCAGGCGATTACCCAACGACTTTCTCACCTCTGTGGTAGACCTCATCGGGGCGGCCAAAAACCTGCTGGCATGGCTAGACAGGTACACAACCATGGACAGTCTGCTTTCCTGGTTTAGTGTTTAAGTGAATTGTTTTATCAGTGTCACAGTACAGTAGGACAGTTCACTCTTTGTTCAGTGGACTTAAAGGTGCACTGTGTAACTTTTCTAGAAAGGGTCTGCGACCTGTTTGTCTCCATGGAGGTGTTAAAGCTTTGGTTTAAATTGTCCAGTGTATGGTACTGAACTAATCGGTCTTGAATGTATTAAACTAAAAACATCTTTTAAAAAACACATTTTTTCTGAGAGTGGGGTCGCCTTTCCACAAATCTAACCTGTAATTTGTCTTCTAAGTTTTACTGCACAGTTGCACAGTGCACCTTTAACTTAATACTTAATAGATTCTCATTACTGTACATAGGCCTGTCATGATAATTACTATATTGACTTATCACTCAATATATGACAGATGGGACAATTATTTTTGAGTAAGTATGAATATTTATCAGGTGTACATTTTCTTTTGACAGTTTTTGTTATTTTTGGCTATACAATAAGATTTGAGCTGTGAAAGGTTGAATTAATAACTTCTATGAATCTTTATAGACTAAGTACATGTCATTTATTTAGTGCCGCTCATGTTTTTTAACAGTATTGTAGATTTGGAATAGGTTTTGTGGTTTAAATCCTTGGTTCTCATTTGTTTCAATATTAAAATTTATCATCTATACTTACTTCATCAGAATATCACACTTCAAAATGTGTTATTGTGACAGGGTGAACTGTACACAACTGGGGTGTTAGTTTGTTATTTAATGACCACTGTCCCATATTTAATACATAAATGTAAACATTTAGTGATGCACTGTTTTGTGTGTCTGTGTTTTAGTGACTGTTGTTTTGGTGGCGAAATTAGTGTATGTTTATATATATTATATTTTCAGTAAGTGGTGTATTTGATATTTTAAAATGTATTATACAGTTTTAACCAATCTAGGCAATGAAATTCCCTATTTTTTAACGTCTTGGGTGTCTTTTTAAAGACAGTACAGTTAAGTGTATTTACCTTGTTGACATGTTTCGGCAGGGTAAATACACTTTAGTGTATTGCCTAAAAAAGAATCCAAGAAGTTAAAGTACATACGAAGACAAAATTAACATCTTTGGTTTCCCTATTTTTTATTGAACGGGAAATTGAAATATATTTGGCAAACATTGGGAATGTGAACCTACAAACATGGATGCGGGCAGATCTATTAAAGGAAATGTTATGCATCTGCAGGTAGGAATATATATAGAAATCCATCTTTTTACTAATGGACCAAATGTCATACTCTCAAAGGACTGTCTTTCCAAAATTAACCTTAAAAGCAGGTTCACATTTAGATCTACTGATGGAGTAGAAAGTTATGTACATGAAATAAAACAGCACAGCACTTAAGTAACACTGTGGAGAGGCTTTGGCCCTAAATTAAATATTGTTGTTCATCTCTATTGAGGTTTTAAGAGTAACAACAAATGTCTTTTACTGGCCTCTCTTACAGCAGTCACACTAAATCACACTTTACAGGCCAAAACAAAATAAAGCCTTAATATAACAAATGTAATCCGCTACACAGACAGGCTTTTTATTATATGCACTGCTCATACTCATTCACTTTGGTGGGGATGGGATTTTGGGCCACATGTCTTAAGTGTAATAAAAGCAAATTGGAAGAGAAGTTGAAAGTCTGTGCCTGTTTGAAATAATAGAACTTTTACACATTAGCAAGAGCGCCACTGAAGTGAGAACTGTTCTGAGAAATGTGTTAAAGGCAATTTTGGTGGACTTAATGGGTTAGTCTGATGTCCGTTGTATTTTTTATCTGCTTTTTGTGTTTTACTGTTTTAGACCCAGAGATTTTAAGGTGCACTATATAACTTTTTGGTTGGGGGTCCGTTCATGTCACCTGCTTGTTTCTATGGATATGCCATTGCTCTGCCTAAAATGTTCCACAGTATGACATTAAAGAGCTCTATCTTACATGTATTCAATTACAGGTGGTTTTATAGATTAAATGACCTAGAAACACAGGCATTCTGACTGTAACCGGTGTTGCCTTTCCATATATCTGATCTATAATTTGGTCTGGTTTGGTCTCCATGAAGATAGAAAGGTTTTGACTGAAGTTTTATTTTGGAAAAGTATACTAGATCATCTATCCAAAAAAATCTGAGGTGAAGTGTTTGTTTACTTGCTTCTCTTTGTTAAATACTAAGGAATAGACTCAAGATACTCAATACTGATTCCGGTACCATGATGACAGTAATAAAAACTATTTATTTAGACTATAGAATGTGATTTTGAACATTAAATTATAGCACCTTTTTGTATATTACTATGTGGTGTTATCTGTACAATCTTCTCAAACGCCTAGGTATTTTTCATTGTGGTCTGCGCATACTCTATTTGGTCCTATACTTGTTCTGATACAGTTCAAGATCAGTCTAACGCTGTTCAGGAAAGGTTCATTTCTGTCCTGTGAGTGAGGATCTAGTTTTCTAGTAGTACTATTTATGTATGGTAAAATGGTAAATGGTCACATTTTTCTATAGCGCTTTTCCACCTTCAAGGCACTCAAAGCGCTTTACAACAAGGAACCACTCACCCATTCACACACACATTCACACACCAGTGTACGCAGACACTGTGGGCAAGGTGGGCTAAGTGTCTTGCCTAAGGACACAATGGCAGCATTCATCTGTGGGAGCTGGAATCACACCAGCCAACCTGTGGGTCAGTGATCTGACCGCTCAACCTGTGATGTTTTTATATCGAGAGCTGGATTCAAACCGCCAACCTTCAGATCAGTGGGCAAATGCTCTACCAACTGAGCTACTGCTGCCCAATTAATACCTGATTTTAAAATGATAAGAAATAACCTGTATTTTGTTGAAACAATGATGTGTTTTTTGATTGTAAATTGTGTCCTTTGTACAGATTTTTTAAATTTATTTAGTTTTTTTTTTTCCCCCACAAATTGCTTCTTGGTTGGTAGAAAACTATCATTCATTTTTACAACAGATATTATCACCACCAAATTAAGTCAAAATTAGGGAATCATGAAAATCTGTCATACCCACTTTAAAGGACTGCAACATTTGGCTTGATGATAGCAGTTTTATTTAGTCTAGTTCACACACATTTATTTTTTTGGGTATGGGTTACCAAAGTTCAGTGCACAATACTGTAGTATGTCTGCTTCTATCTCTGTCATATTGGGTTGTGAATCCCGTTTTGTAACTGGGTTATTTTAAACTTGTATTTCTTTTTCTTTGCAGGTCTCCATTCGCCAGTGTGACAGAGTACTCATTACTGAAGAACAACATCGTGCAGCTTTGTCTAGAATTAACCACCATTGTACAACAGGTATGTATCTCACCTACAGTTTAATATACATTTAATGAAGTAGTGTTATTTTTATTTTGTTACTATTTTTCTTTCTTTTTTATGTTTGGACTGGAAAAAAATTTAGTTAAGTACTGGTGTGTTCCATTTTTGGAGAAGCTGTTGTCCCAAAAAGCAGGGCTACAATGAAAACAGTAATATTAACTCAAGTAAATCAAAAATGGAGCTTCTTAAACTGGGAACTGGATTTCATATATACACTGTTGGGCAAGTTACTTTGAAACTGTAATGCGTTATTTATTACCTATTACTGTCATTTCAAAGTAATTTGTTACATTACAATATTACTGCATTTAAAATGTAAGGCATTACATTACTATTGCATTACTTTAAGTTACTCTCACCAAAATAACTTTTGCGCTGTATATGGACTGAACCAGGACTAAACCAGAGCTGAACCAGGACTAAACCAGAGCTGAACCAGGACTAAACCAGAACTGAACTAGGACTAAACCAGAACTGAACTAGAACTAAACCAGAACTGAACTAGGACTAAAACAGGACTCACTGTAGGGACGGGCTCAAAGGTGACCGCAGAACGTTTCGTCGACGTTGTGGGTTTCGTCGGGGAGAAAACTTGCAACCGTACAACACTTCAGAATCACACTGCTAGAGATTAAACATGTATTTAAATTGGCAGCTGAACACATTCTGTACTGTACTGTACAGGAGACTGGAGTCCCTTGGCCATCAGGACGCAGCGGGAGGAACGCAATACGCATTCATACAATAAAAAAAAAGGGCATGCAAAATGCACAAAAAAATAAAAAATAAAAATCTGCGAAACAGCGAGACCGCGAAAAGTGAATGCGATGAGGGAGGGACGAGTGTAAACCAGGTCTAAACCAGAATGACCCAGTCTAAAAGGTCTGAACAGCGTGGAGTTCTTTGTAGTCCTTTCGCCCGCGGTTAACTGAAGGTCTACGAGGGCGCATCTCCGGCGTTTCACCGCTGCTGATATCGAGGTGATTTTAGCGAATTTGCATGAAGAAAAACCCCACCATTTTTTTTTTTTTTTTTTTTTTTTTTTTTTTTTTAATACATAATGGCATAATCTCATTTTCACATTCTTGTAGATCCAATCTCATGTCTTGTGGAAATTGTATCTCATCCCTCCCTTGTTAAATGTTATGTAAATGTACTACTGGGAATTTAACCATTAAAAAAAAAAAAAAAATCCAGTATAGATTTTGACAAAATAAATATCTGTAATTTTTTCTTTTACAGTTATCAAATGTTTTCTCCTGCTCAGTTTTTCTGATAACCAATTTCTTTATGTTCAAAATGTTTCTTATCATTGCTATAGACCACAGTCCTGGTATCCATGTACTAATATGTACACACAGATGGTCTAGACTCTGGTATGGATTGACCTTTCTTTCTTAGACCTGATTTTTGTTAGGTCCCATTGTAGACTTAGTTTTGTTCTATTCTAATCCTGGTCTAGTCCAGGTTAAATTGTGAAATTAGTCTCAGTTTTGTCCCAATTTTCATGTGCTTTGTGTGCAAGTGTGAGCACAATCTCTAGTGTGCTCTGGTATCTTGTCTAGACTCTGGTCTTTGACTCCAGTCTTTGACCCTAGTGTGGTCTCTTTTCTGGTCTTGATTCTGGATTGGTCTCCTGTCTGGTCTAGATTCTGGACTGGTTTTTGGTCTGGTAGATTCTAGTCTAGATTCTGGACTGGTTTTTGGTCTGGTAGATTTTAATCTAGATTCTGGACTGGTCTCTGGTCTGGTGTAGATTTTTGTTTGGATTTGTGCCTAGACTCTATTCTGGACTGTAGTCTGGTCTCTGGTCTCGACTCCAATCTGGAGTACAGTCTTAGACACTTCAAGATACAGTATTTTAAAGTGTGTAGTTGTTTTCCAAAACCAATGAATATCTAAAAAAAGATAGCTGTATTGATTATAGACCCCTCTTTACCCGAGGTCACAGTTTGTTTTGGTCACATGTGGAAATAGACTGAGCTCATCCATACTATTGGTCTGGACAGCGGCTCGTCTCCATAGAAGAGAGTGGAGCATTTGTTCCTGCATGATTAAAAGCAGTTTGTAGCAGCTATACGGTCTGGCGATATTGTAGCATTTACTTTACAATAAATAAATCAATAAAGCAGCATTACTATTTTTATTTTTTATTTTTTCTCCGTAAAATACATAGCAAACAGATTTTTGCTTTGCCATTATCTGTGAAAATGTTCATCTTTTTTTTTTTTTTTTGTTTTGTTTTCCTAAGGTCATCAAAATACAATAAAAAAGTGATTCAAAAAAGGTGATACCTTCTCTCTATATAAATATTTCTATGCCTAAGCTATGACCACTCTCTCACACTTTATTGTAGCTGTTCCAAGAGTGTGTCCTGTTTTGGTGCTGATAACACCCTCCCACGCCATCAAAGACCCCAGACCTGGAAAAAGGAGTCCACCAATGAAATGGTCCATGAACCGGTCTGTAATACTAGTGTCAGTGTAGTCAGCTTTCCCTTCACAAATGCATCAAACCAATGAATTAGCTGCTCCCGTGCACATCTGCTGTATTCAATGGGCCTCATTCCCAGAAATAGATTAAGAGCTCTCCACTATCGGGTGAATAACAGCGGCATGTGGCAGCTCCAGGCTTCAGAGGTCTACAGCCGGTCAATCTACAGCCCTGTCTGTGCAGTTCAAATTATATTAGTGTAATTGCAATAACTATTATAACTATTATATTAGAACAATGAATGAATGAAGGACTGGGCTGTGGGGCGCAGGGATTATTGATGATTTATGTTACTCTCTTTGGATGTGTTATATTATAGTATCTTTTCTTTACTGATTATTTCTGTCAGATGTATCTGTACTCCTCCATGTATAAAAAGAAAGATCGCAAAGAAAAAGACTACCTTGATGGGTGATTAAATAAAAAATATATATAAAATAAAAATCTAAACATATACACCATTCTCAGGACAGACCTAGGTCTAGACTAGATCTAAATCAGGACTAAATCTTGACTAAACTAAGACTAAACCGGGATCTAACATGGGTTTTACCAGAACAAGAACCAGGACTAAACTTGGTCCAAACCAGGATCAAATCAAGACTTAACAAGAACTATATCAGACCTAAACCAGGACCAAACATGGACTAAACCAGGATTAAACAAGAATATGTTGCAAATAACTGGGACTAAACCAAGTTATAGTAACCAAAGGTGCTACCAAACTTGATTAGTTAAGTGTTTTCTAGGGCTAATATAGATTCAAACCAGGACTAAACCAGATGGTGTAGCAGGGATATTCTCAGTCTAAACCTGCACTAAAGCAGGACTGGTTTTGTATATATGCGAAAACCTGTCCACATTCAAAAGTTATCATATTTTGAGTTGCTCTACTGCTATAGCCGCTGTTGCCTGAAACCCACGAATAACTGGCAGTAAAGAAGGACGTATTAAGGATACTGCATACTGTAATAGGACGAAACAAGAAACCCACTTCTTTATGCTAAAAAAGACACTTACCTCTTTTCAATACTGCGTTCTCAAATCTCTCATTTCCAGATTTATTTTTGGAAGCCAGAGTTATTTGAGCTTTTGGCGGATGTTTGATGAAATGTTTCCTTGCCTGACGTCGTGTCTCTTCTCTTCCTTCTCTCTCTCTCTCTCTCTCTCTCTCTCTGCAGGATTGCACTGTGTATGAAACGGAGAACAAAATCCTCCATGTGGTAAGTAGCTTTTCTGTCACATCTACACATATTCACTATACTGAAAAAACATAAATAAACCAGGACTAGGATACAATAATTACAGTAATCCAAGGACTACATGGGGAGTAGATCAGAGGTGCAGCCAGACACTGCAGACATCATGGGAATCCACTCAAAGTAATACAATTGTGAACAAACATTAAAGGTCCTATATTGACTTTTGTGAGATTTAACACATTTTAACGCCACGACACACTACAGGATGTTTCAGTTTTAAACGTTTTTTGAACATGTGACAAAAAGCACACACCACAGACACCAGGAGAATTTTTTGAGATTTTAAATCTCCGATCTCAAAGACTGCAACGGGATATGGCTGCAGACCAGATCAATGACCACATGCTACACAGTTGTGAGCGCACCTTATGTCAGCTGTTTCACGTCTAGAGTAATAAAGTTTTCTCATTATTTTCACTATTTACTGAGTCTGTATCTTGCATCTCTGTGTCCGTCACTCCGTCTGCCCCTGACGCTCTGTTTTCATTGGCTGTTACCGTAGCGTTGCTGGTGTTTGGTGGTTGTGATCTGACAGAGCAGTTCAGTTACGGTGACACCACACATATGAGGAGTGCAGCAGCTACAAAACTGCATACAGAGACTCAAAGTTAGGTCATGCCTCCTCAAACTCAAGGAGAAGGAAATATCAGCTGAAATCGGGAAAATTCTCCTGTAGTGTGTGCGGCCTTTAGAATGTTCTTCCAAAAATATACCAGGAGTTGTGCTTTGTTAAATTCACGCGTTTGAGTAATTCTTTACTATTTGTCTTACTGTCTCTAAAGCCCAAAATGCGGCTACCTTTTACCTTTTTTCAGTAAATATTGGCAATTCCAATGTTGAAATCAGCCAAATGATTCTAGTGAAGGTCTATGGGGTTTAAAAACACAGTAGAGTACTTCCTCTATTACCACATGACATCAAAAGGTGGAGTTTTTTCAGTTTAGAGCAAAACACATCCTAAATATGCAGGGTTTGTATGTTAAGCATGTGAATGAAACAAAATAACTCTATGTATGATTGTGATGAAGAAACAACATTTGAACATAGCTCATACACCATTTACTATATTTTGATGGATTTTAAATATACTATTACTTCTGCTACTACTGCTACTACTATTATTATTGCTACTACTACCTAAGAAAACAGTGATTTAAACTCATGTAATCTTGTAGCCTCACCCAGGACAGCTACTACCCCTCCTCTCCGTCTTTTTTTTTTTTTTTTTTTTTTTTGGTGGGTTGTGCTAGGTGAGGGGAGTGGGTTGTGGTGAGTGAGTGAGGGGAGTGGGTTGTGGTGAGTGAGGGGAGTGGGTTGTGCATGGGTGACCATCTTCATGCATGTTTGACAGAGGCTGGTCTGGTGAAACATGTAAAGCCCAGTGAGCACCAGGCTCTGATCAGGCCTGACAGCTGCACTGGGACATGAGGGGCTGCTGCTGCTGCTGCTGCTGCTGTTCAAGGAGGGCTGGGGATACAGTGATAAAAATCAAATCATCCTTTTTGGTTATATCATCATGAGGGTTGCACTCATCCAGCTTTTTCTGCTCCAATATCGGTATCATCTTTTTACATCAGTTTTGGACCAAGAAACTGATGTGCAAAATTCTCATTCTTTTATACCAATTTATACACTGATATCGACTGAACCAATATTGAATGAACCAATATTCGATCCTTCAGAGTATTCAATATTGGCACCAATATTAGATTCCAGTGTGTCCATAGTCATCATGATCTATGTAAATTCCGTTGTACAACTTGTACACATAATAACTGCTAATCAACTTAAAAGTGTATGCTAAATGCCAACAATTATAACATGTCCTTTTTCCTTTTTCTCATGAATATCTTCTAATATTTATACTTTAGAGGCTATGGTTGTCTATTGATAGTAGTGCTACTGAAAGCACTACTCTGTTACTCAAGTTAGATTTTTTATCTGAGCTTTAATTTACACACTCTCACCAAAGAGCTGATTTAGTTGGAATTACAACAGACGACCTGATTTCTGTTCCTGAAAATGTGTTCAGATCCATTTTGCATTTTTTCATGAGTGTTCAGACTATCTTAAGGCTTTTTCAACAGTGTTTGCTAATGTGTGCATTGTGTCACTATGGTAACTACTGAACATTGCACCATTAGAGATGCATGTAGAACACCCCCAGCATGATGTCACTGCAAAGTATCTATATTTGCAATTTAGCTGTTCACTCTAGTCCAGTGCTGACAGTTTGTGCTTTTGAACATGTGTGAACAGACAGAGCAGCAGAGTCTGTCACACTGAATCTACAAAGAAAAAGGAGTGATCTATGGAAGGAGGAAAAGAAGATGTGAAATCAGGACACAAGAGTTGTTTATTTACTATATTTGAGAAATAAATGACACACAGGCTGTTCTATGTGAATTGTAAACATAGAAGTAGGTCATTTAAAGTAAGTCATAGGAAAGGAAAGGTAAGGCCTAAATTCAGATGCTGTTTGACAGAAGTGGAGCAGACTGATTCAAAACGCTCTATTTCTATTCAACAATGGGGGAATCAACTTTATTAATAAACTATATTTAAAAATAGCTAATTTTGAACATAGACTGTTTATATAAATGGACATAGTTAACCTGCCACCTTCCAAATAGGAAGTGAGCGTGGGAGCGTTTCCAGCTCCAACGATTCTGGCTCCAGTTGACTTTATATTGAAAAATTGGCACTCTCTCTTTAACTGCTGCAGCAAGCCTATGCATAAAGAAGATGTATTTTTGGTGTCACTCAGTTTTCAGAATGTGGTGATGTCATACTAACAGATGGGAGGGAGGAGCCAGTTTTCCCTATTGGTTACGTGACATTTTCATCTGCAAATGCTTAACTTGATCCAGTGACTAGAGGCTCTTGAACCATCTTGCAACAGACATGTGCATATTAATAAACATCATTTTAACTTCCCCATATCTAATAGAGTGTGTATAGACGTCATAGTAGTCGTCATTGTTTTATATTGCACCACACCACTGAAGCAAGCTCCTATGTGAAATATGTTCACTGACAATGGCAATAAAATGTATTCTGATTCTAGTAGTAGCAGAAGTTGTAATATTAGCAGTGTTGGGAGTAACGCGTTATAAAAGTAACGAATTACAGTAATGCATTGCTTTTTGCTGTAACGCAGTAATGTAAGGCATTACAGGGGGAAAAATAGTAATATTTTACTCGCTACAAATGTGAGTAACGCGCGTTACAATGGTTTTTTAACCTGGATTGAAGTGGTGTTTTTTTCTTCATACAAATTCGCTAAAATCACCGCGATATCAGCAGCGGGGAAACGCCAGAGACGCGGCCGTGTTGACCCTTGGTAACCGCGGGCGAAAGGACCGACGCAGAAGTCTACGCTGCTTAGACCTGGTTTAGACCTGGGTCAGTTCTGGTTTAGACCTGGTTTACAGTCCTCCGAAGTGCTGTATGTTTGCAAGTTTTCTCCCCGACAAAATCCACAATGTCGATGAAACGTTCTGCACTGACAAAGGCTCTTGCGCTCGCACCCAAAAGGCAGAGGAAGATGCAAACCATCGCACAAAAAGTTGGACTTCTGAACACGCTGAAGGAAGGTAGAAGTTACGCGCTGTAGCAGAGTCTTACACGGGTCGGGTACCCGCAAATAGTTGCTGAAATCAGGACCGTGAGCCCGCGGAGCACGGTGACCATAAAGCGCGATCGGGCGACAGCCGCTCTTACCTCCGTGAGGTGCGGAGCAGAGCAGGTCCTTTCTCCTGCGGTCACCTTTGAGCCCGTCCGGATATTGAGTCCTGTTTTAGTCCTAGTTCAGTTCTGGTTTAGTCTTGGTTTTGTTCTGGTTTAGTTCTGATTTAGTCCTGTTTTAGTCCTAGTTCAGTCCTGGTTTAGTTCTCCTCTTCAGTCCTGGAATCAGTCCGAGGTTAGTCCTGTTATAGTCCTGGTTCAGTCCTGGTTCAGCTCTGGTTTAGTCCTGGTTTAGACCTGGTTTAGACCTGGTTCAGTCCATGTACGGCGCAAAAGTTCAGCATCTTCGCAGTTATTTTGGTGGGAGTAACTTAAAGTAATGCAATAGTAACGTAATGCCTTACATTTTAAATGCAGTAATATTGTAATGTAATGAATTACTTTGAAATGACAGTAATAAGTCATAAATAACGCATTACAGTTTTAAAGTAACTTGCCCAACAGTGAATATTAGTACTTGTGTTGTGTAGTCGTAGTAGTCGTAGTAGTCGTAGTAGTCGTAGTAGTCGTAGTAGTCGTAGTACAGGCAACAGTAGCTCAGTTTGTAGAGTGTTTGTCCACTGACCCACAGGTTGGTGGTTCGATTCCAGCTGCCACAGATGAATGCTGCCATTGCATCCTTCCGCAAAATATGTAACCCCACCTCTGAAAAGAATGAATGTATGCGTGAATGGTATAAAGCTCTTTGATTGTTTGAAGGTGGAAAAGCACTATATAAAAATGTGTCCATTTGACCATTTAGTAGGAGTCGTAGCAGCAGTTGTAGTAGTCGCAATAGCCGTGGTAATATAATTGGCATTTACCGAAGTATTATTAGCAACTGTAGTAGTACTAGCAGCAGTAGTAGTAGTAGTCAGTTTTCTGCAGCAAGTGACTGGAACCACCTTCAACAGACTTTAAAACCTAGTTTGTTTTTACCTCTGTGGATTTTTAAAAAACTCCATCCAGAGTATTTCACAGGATAATTGCACATGTTTTTAACACTTTTATATATTTAATCTGCAAATGTTTCAGTGTCTTATTCACTGTTTCATGTTATAGTTGATGTGTGAGTGTTTTCTGTTTGTGCTTTTGTTATATTCTGCCTCTTGGCCAGGTCGTCATTGTAAATGAGAAGGTGTTGTCAACTGACTTACCTGGTAAAATATTGAATAAATAAACAAAATAAAATAAAATAGTAGCTGCATTAACACAGTAGTAGCAGTTGCACTATT